GAGATTCGAGAGGTTACATTAGTATGGAAAAGAGCAGCTTTATCCTTCAGCAGAATTTCTTCTTCAGCATTTTATTAAAGAAAGTGATTTATGAGGTTTGCAAAGACATGAGGGTGAGTAAAAGATGTCTTTTTGTATTTTATTTTGGATGAACTATTCTTTTAAACGCAATTCAATTATCTCAGACGGTTCCCGCATCAGTTCACTCGCTCTCATGCTGTGTGCTTTAAACATAATCATAATAAAAGCCATCTACGCTGAGATTCATTGCAGCACGTATAATAATAAGCTCCATATATGTAATGAGAAGTCCACCGATGGACGCTTCAAACCACAAGGACAGGAAATCACGCTCTCCAGAGATGCTGGCACATGTCCATCTCTCCTGTATGAATGCAGAGATTTACTACGACCGCAATAATTATTCTTCATCAGAGCTGGCTGGTGGGCAAAAGAGAGGGAGAGAGATAGAGAGGAAAGTCTTTATGTGTGGCATTGAAGGCTTTTTAGATGTGGACGGCAGGTGATGCACTTAAGAGACGGGAGCTATCGATCCACGATCTCATCTAAGAAGACACATCAATGTAAAGCCCTGCGAACGTATAGCTTGTGTGACCCACCTCTATAAACACTTCAGATACAGACTGAAAGAGCACCGTATTCTATTCTGTGGATATGAGTGTATCATGTTTATATGTATGAAACTAATATTGATTTCTATGCTGCTGTTAAAGGAATATTTCAGATAAAAGCGAACATCTTTTAGGCACCCTCATGTTATATGCACTACTGTTGTTACGGCCTGTTTTTATTTTTAATTGTAATAATATTTTACAATTTTACCTGTTTTTACTGTATTTTTTATCAAATAAATGCAGTCTTGGTTAGAAAATTAGAAAAAATTAACAAAAGAGCAGTATACATGCAGTATACATACACCGCCTGCTGGCGGATTTAGTTTCATTTTTAAAGTATCTTTTCAGTTCTTTAAACCATTTAATATTTCTATATTCAATATTTAAAAAAAAAAAAATCTTTTAATCATTAAATTCATTAATAAACATGATGTGTATACATACAGTGGTGGCCAAAATTATTAGAACACTAGTATCTTCACCAGCTAAAAAATGGTTTTTAGTCAGTTATTTCTATCTTTTGCTGTAGTGTATCAGTAGGAAATATCAGTTTACATGTCCAAATATTCATTTTGCCATTAATTGTAATAATCCAGTGAGATTTTTGTCTGACAACAGCCAGAGCTCCACACAGAGATCTGATCTGATCTGATCATCATCCAGTCTGTCTGGAATGACATGAATCCCCATTTTACAGAATTTTTACACAAGTGCCTAAAACTTTTAACAGCACTGTAGCTTCGCAGGTAGGTTTCTTGAAGCGTCTTGGAGATGTTGCCACAGTTCTTCTGGATTTAGTCTGTCTCAGTTTGTTCTGTTTCTTCATGTCATTCCACACAGACTGGATGATGATGAGATCAGATCTCTTTATGGAGCACTGGCTGTTCTCAGACTCCTTGTGCAAACAAAAATCGCAATTTTTGATTATTACAATTAATGGCAAAATGAATGTTCGGAAATAACCAATAACCAATATATAAATTTACAAAGGGATAATGTTACTAAATTGAGAGCAAAAAAATGGGGAATGAAGTTTCTTAGGATTGTTGGCAAATTCTGTCTGTTGATTTACTCTTGAGGCTCTTTGTGTGAGACCAAGCTGGGTTTTGATTGGCTGACTGGTTGGATACTGACTAATAGGGTAGAATAACACTGGCACGGGCTAGCGCTGTACCATCTGTCTGTAAGTGTGTGTTCGTGTGTGTGCCGCTTCCAGAGACGCACAGATCATAACACACAGGAGAGAACAAAGTTAATCGCCCGGGGTGAAGTGTGTTTAGACGCTGGAAGTTTAGGGGATATTTATCAAACAAACTGCAAGATCGTGTTTGGTTAGCTGACAAATAACATGTTCCCAAACAGAACTGTTATATGCAAAATAGTTTAGTCATCATTATGATTTTATCATTTTTTAATCAGTTTTGCAGATACTTAAACAGTCCTGCGGTGTGACAAAAAAATCTCGAAAAGAGCCAGAATAATTATTAAAATGCCAACTAATTAAAATGCTTAATAAAAGGGACGAATACATTAAAACTTCTTTGCAATGTAGCAATTAGTCCTCTTTTCATAAAACGATCTTTTCATTAGCCAAAAAGTCTGCAGGCAGTCTGAATATGAGCCCAGGAAAGTCCAGAGTCCTTCTCTCAGATATAAAACCAAAGAGACCGTGAGATTCAGAGGTTGTGAACATTAATTGCTTGCTGTCTGACTGTAGTCCGAGTCTTCTGAAGTCATATGATAGTCTTGTTTGAGGAACAGACCAGAGCACTCGATATTCACTGATTATCTTTAGTCAAACAAAATATGGTGCATATTTCACAGATTTGACATCGTGACTTGGTTATTGTCAACAAACCTGTGGCATGGGCTCCATATCTGGCTTTGGAGAAGAAGCAGATATGGAAAATATTGGTCTAAAGACAGAACGAGCAAATGAATGAACCAGACAAGATCAAATAAATAATGAGTAAAACGATGAATAAAAGCAGAAACAAACATACATACATAGAGAGAAATTATGAACAAAATAATGGATAAACTAATGTAAGAGAAAGTACAAACAAAGAAAACAAAGTGCAAACAAATGAGAAAGCAACCAAAGAAAAGAACAAACAAACAAACAACTGAGCAAACAAACAAAATAATACATAAATGATTGGAAGAATGAACAAAAGAAAGAATGAACAGCAAAACAAACAAACAAACAGAGAGAGAAATTAAGAACAAAATAATGGATAGACTAATGTAAGAGAAAGCAAACATAAAAGAGAACAAACCAATAAACAACTGAACAAACAAACAAAAGAACAAAAGAACCAACCAACTAATGAAAGAATAAACTGAACAAGAAACAGAGTGACAAAAGAACAAGAATAACAATTATCAACAGAACAAGAATGAACAAAAAAATGGCCAAACTAAGAAAAACAAGTGCAAACAAATGAGAAAATAACCAAAGAAAAGAAAGAACAAACAAAAAACAACTGAGCAAACAAACAAAAGAATACACAAATTAATGGAAGAATTAACAAAAGAAACAGCAATAAATAAATAATGCATCAAAATTGTCACAAAAGAGCAAAGTAAGATAAATAAAAGATAAGATGAAAGATAAATGATAAATTATTTTTCAAATTAATAAAAAAATTATATTGTTGCTAAATAGAATACATACATGCAATTTTATATATAATATTTATATATATACATATACATACATATATATATATATATATATATATATATATATAATGTAGATACTATATAGTGTATAGTAAATAATACATAATAACAATAATTATGTAAATATGTCAAATATATTTTAACAATATTCACAATGGAAGCGATTCGCAGCATTACCACAGACTGATATGATTCATTTTCAATGAGAGTTGTCGACTTGAGCGAAAGAGACTGTATGATATGACAAAGTTGTGCAGAGATCTGCTGCCAGACACGGCTGAATACTGCAGTCGAGTTGAAATGCCTACAAGCACCCAACAGTGCAGCGACCCGACAACCTGCAATGATTTAATCGCTGTCAGTGTGAATGCACCATTAACTCCCTATGCAGACAGTCAGACGTCTCACTATGGTTCAGAGCAGAGCAGCACATCCTCAAAAATGACTGAACAGTTCTAGTTAGTAGGACTGTGCGATTCATTGAATTTTAGTTTCCACAATTATGAAAACACAATAATCAGGATAAAACCATTCATGTGCCACATTCTGTTTCTTTTCCTTAATAGCGGTGAGCTTTTGCTCCTCCTTAAAAAGTCTAAACTTAACATACAAATCAGTCAAATGAAACATGGCTACTGTAAAATGTAGTCTACTGAAGGACGTGCTTGATATTTAGAAGTACGCTGCTCCCCAGGAGGCTTCTGTGTGATATAAAATTGCAATTCCGAGAAAAAAAGTCAGAATTGCAAAATATAAATAATAAACTTTTTTTCTCACAATTCAGAGATTATTTTATATCTTGCAATTCTGACTTTCTTCCTAAGAATTCTGAGTTTGTATCTCGCAATTCTGTTTTTTTTTTCAACATGGAATAAAAGAGTTTATATCTCATAATTCAGACTTTTTTCCCATAATTGTGAGAAAAAAAGTCAAAGATAAGACTTACCTCAAACTGTGAGAAAAAAGTGAGAAATGTAAGATAAAAAGTCGCATTTACTTTTTTATTTTTTTTATCCCATGATGGAAACGAGCTTCCATATAAATGTAAATCAAATAAAACAAAAGAAAATGAGAAAATCTACCACTGCTCTTGACTGCATTACTTTGTAGCTTTAATAAGAATCAAATGTTTTATTTTACATTTGATTGTTCCATTTCTGTAGAATAGTATTATCTAAATAGACTTACATGAAAAACTAAAAGCATTGTTCATTTATATCTTTTTCTGTCGCATTTGTTTTATTGTTTGCAATTTGCTTTTATTGTATTACTGACTGTTAACTTGTCTTCAGTAATTGTTTGAGGACTTTTTTACTTATATTAGTTAGCCTAGTATTAGTTTCTGTTGCAACTAGCATTAAAAATGGTAAACTTTCACTGGAATCTAAAGTTCTGATATCAGCAACCTTATTTCCATCAAAATATACTTGAAATATAACGCTATTGTGGAGGGGAAAAACTAAAGTTTTAATAAATATTATAAGGTTTAATAAAAAAATTATAATGAAATAAAAATTAATAAATATAAATTATTAGACCAAAATTATTTATTTTAATTAATTATTATTAAATATTACCTAATATAAATAATAAATAGTCATATATTTTGTCATAATTATAGTTAGTCAACAGGCTCCACATAAGGACCCAAAACCAAATGTGATATCTCCGTGTTCTTACCTGTTGAGCCAGTGTCCAAAGTCAGGCAGGTGTGCCCACTGCACTCCGGTCTGGTTCAGTGACCTCAGCAGGCGACAGCAGGTCAAGGTCAGCAGCGGGGTCGCCAGCGCCAGCCATTTCTCCGAGCCCGGACTCATTCCCAGCTCCACCGCCGGGGAGAATGACGGTCCTTCCTCGGCACCGGTGGGAAGCAAGGGCCCCTCGTCCTCTTCTTCATCTCGATGCCTCTGTTCCCTGAAGTACTTCCTGCAGACGTCCTGGAAGACGGCCAGGCACAGCGTGTTGAGCAGGAAGTACCAGGTCTGGTGTTCCTCCTCTATGAAGCTGCTGGAAGCCAAACTGAGGGTGTGACCCACTGTACCGATCAGCAACAGAGCGTCCAACTCCGACAGAGTCCAGTCAGAACCCTAGAATGAGAGAGAGAGGTTATATATCATTCTTGTTTCAAACTGAGTCTGTTTACTACATCGGCAGCCACCTTCTAAGGCAGCATACTAACTGAAATAGAGCCTCATATCATAAGTGAATGATTTGGAGCTTTACACAGACAGCAACTCTGAATATCACACAAAATAGTCAATTTATTCCTGTGAGTCAAAGCTGAATTCTCAGCATCATTCCTCCAGTCTTCAGTGTCACATGATCCTTCAGAAATCATTCTAATATGCAGATTTGCAGCTCAAAAAAAGCTTTCTTATCATAATCAATGTTGAAAACTGTTATGCTGCTTTATGTTTTTGAGAAAAACAATGCTGCATTTCTTTTTCTAGGATCCATTGATGAATAGAAAGCTCAAATACAGCATTTATTTGAAACAGAAATCTACTGAGAAACAAAAGATAAACACAATTATGATACATGCAACAAAGTTTTTACGCAGTTTTATGCTGTTGAAATACATTAGCACCAAATATATCAATCTTTTCAGCAACACATCCAGTATGGCATCTTCCATGCAGACAAAAGTTTGCCCAAAAACGCACTAAAAAATCAATACACGCAGTCAGATGTGAAGCATAGAGAGAGAAATGGAGCGGAAAAGGTGAAGCGGTGAGAGTTGAAAAGGGCAAAAACCACAAATAACTGAAACATCTGACAGTGTGTGACAGTAAAACGCAGCTGACACCAAAGTCACCGGTGTCCAACACTGTAAAACAACTCTACAGACAGCACTTTGATGTGTAGAGCCCTGAGCTAACAGACAAACACACACACACACACACACACAGGTGAGAGAGCATGTTGTGACTGTTTCCCACAGTGTGTAAGTGCAGGGCTGCAGGGAGCAGAGCAGTGTTGACTCAAAGGGAAAGTGCTAACAGCCACACACACACACACACACACACACACTCGTTTCTCTAGGAAATCACACACAACTGCATCCCATCGTAATACATGTCTCTGGTCTCGTTACAAATGATTCATCAGTGCCTGTTATTCTGGAGACACAAATGTTTGTTTTCATCATCTTTCATCAAAGTGTAATCACAATCTTTTGCATCTGAAACTAATTTTCTTTCCTTCTAATCGCAGCCACACGGGGTGAAAATATTATTAACCAACTATATTTTTGTGAACAAAATATCATTGGTGTTCGCATGATGTTACAGTAGTGTGGGTGGAAAACAGATCACTGCTATATGGTTGTTAGGGTGTATTTAGTCATACTGCAGTGGCAGATTTTTTCACTCTGTGCAATCAAATTAAAATCAAGTAACAATATCTGCCAGTGCAATGAGACACACATACACACACACACACACACACAGCTAATAAATATAAAACAAAGTAAAACAGCTTCATAATATCTTATTCATTAAATGTATCATGCTTCAAGGATTTTTAGAATTTTTACTAGAAGACACGTTTAAAAAGAATAATATAAATAAATAAATAAATAATATTGCATTTCTACTAATATGTCACATATGTAACATATATGCAAAATATTACATATTACGTAAAAATATATATTACTTATAAAAATATAAATAATAGAATATATAAGAACATACATAATAAAAAACATTTTTAATAAAGAAACAAGCCTAATATAATATACATAAAGTAATAAAATAAAATAAATAAAAATAATACATTATAATACAATGCAAGTAGAAATTAGAATACATATTAAAGATTACATTTATAGATATATAAATATACATTAAAATATTATTCTATTAGGCCTAATTATATTGTATTCATTATATTACTAGTAACTTTTTACAGTACACTAAATATCATATCATATAACATCAAAGGATCATATCAGAGCTATCATAAACTTAAGCTGCAACTACTAAAAAAATGTTTGTTTGTTAATTTAAATATGCTGAAATAAAATAAAATATAATCCTGACAATTATAATGTTGCCTTGGCAATTAACTGAAATAAGTGTGCAGTTGAAGCACTAAAATGACTAAATGGAAATAAAAAATAAAAAACTAAATCTGAACTAAAACTGAAATAAAAACAAAATAATAACATATAGAAATATATAAAAGGAACACAAAAATTAAATGTAAACTAAAATAAAAAAATTATTACTGAAATTTTAAAAAGCTAACTTAAAATATTAATAAATATTATAAAAGTATATATGTAATACTAAAATAACACTTGCTCATATCATGTCCTGATGATAAAAAAAAGTCCCACCTAGGGCTGCGGGTGATATGGAAGAAATTATCATGATTAATTTTTTCTTATCAGTTGATATCGATATCATCACAATGAATGTTAAATCTTTATTTCTTTAAAGGCAAATTTCTTCTCCTGAGTGAAAGTTGCAGAAATCAGTTAATTATGGTTTTAAACTACTTTTTTTTTTTGGTCAGAACATGACAGACACTTGCCACACAGGTGAACATTTCACAAACCTGAGGTACAATATTCAAAACACATTAGTTTCTGCATGTTCTGTGTGATATTGTTTCAAATCATAAAACAGATTTGTGTTCCCTGACTTTGATGGCATGATGCAGATGTAAATTTATGTTCATTAACAAAAACAGTAACATATATACAGGGTAACATTTTAATATTCTGACTGAGTTGGGACTCTACTTTTATTCAAATTAACCATTGGCCATCTATAGTATCCCAAAATCTGATTATGATAACCAAAGGTAAAACCACCTTTGGATGGAGATTTACTGCTGATCACAGAACCGTGCTTCACTGAAAGATACGCATGACAATCGCAGTTTCTGTTGAATCGCGATTTCGATTTATCGTGCAGCCCTAACCACATAGCACCTCACTACTGTAGTAAAATGTAACTATATGGTTTCTATATGAAAAACAGTACCCTGCACTCTTAAAAATAAAGGTGCTTCAAAATGCCATCGAATAACTTTTTTGTCTAAATGGTTCCATAAAGAACCTTTAACATCTGAAGAACCTTTCTGTTTCACAAAAGGTTATTTGTGGCGAAAGAAGGTTCTTCAGATTATAAAAAGATAAGAAAGAGATGGTTCTTTAAAGAACCTTTGACTGAATGGTTCTTTGTGGAAACAAAAATGGTTCTTCTATGGCATCGCTGTGAAGAACCTTTTAAGCACCTTTATTTTTAAGAGTGTAAATACATTTAGTATAAATATATGCACAAATGTTATAGCTTGATAACAATCATAACTTCTTAAAACATTTAATATGTCTACATTAATAATATAATATGTATATCCCACATTTCTGCCGCAATACCATGGTGAAGCTAGTGTTACTACAGTAAATCCACGGAAAAGCCTTCTTAACAGGATTGTTCATGGCACAGTGATTCTCGTGCCGTTTCATCTGGCTTTAAACTAAATAACCAAGACATTTCCATGTGTTCTTCATTGAATTCAAGCACTTCTCACTGGATCTCACAGCGCTGGTCGTGTGTTTGAGACCGATCAGCAAGTAAAAGCATCTGCTCACACCACGCTGCTGTTTGAGCCGAGCCGATAATTGGTCCGTGTGGCCAAAGACTATAGAAATACAAAGACGGTTCACTCCTATACTTATGAATGGGAGAAACTGCAACGCACAATATAGCAAAATAGTCCCACCTTCTAAATGAAAGAGCCAATCGCTGATTGGTAAAGTCATTGCGTCACTGCAGCAGCCATTAGAAGCTCCGGTTCCCATAGAAACCTGAGGCTAGACCAGCAATTGCGTAGGCGCAGTCATAAGCGTGTTGACTGCGCATGTGCATTGGCTGGTCTAGCCTGAAAAATAAGCCTTTTAAACGCTATTTCAGCATAAGAAACAACATTCATGGGGCAGTTCATTTCAGATTCTGTTGCTGATTTGAAATATGTAATGTAATTGTGAGTTCAGCAAGCAGTTTTTGAGATTTCAGGATTCCCCCATTCATTTAGATAGGACTTGGTCTTGTTTGAGCTGCCCGGAGGCGTTGCAAATATGGCCGCCAATGGAACAGACTTTCCTTGAAAGGGACTTTGGTGTGGCACTGTTAACGGTCTTTCCACTTTTGGCACATAAACATTACATCGGACGTTTATAGAACATGTTATCATTTTATCAAGGGAAAAATATACAGTTATAATTATCGTTTTTGTTTTTCAACACGCTAATTTAATCCCACTCTACTTTACTTCCAGTGAAAATTCAGTTTCCCTCACATTACTGATGTTAAATGTGCTGCTCTTCCTCAGTTCAAACAACAGACAGTATTTCTAAGCGATAAACAGCATCTCAGCTGCGCTGATAACACAATACTAATTGGTCGCTCTGTGACTGGTTGTGCGTGTCCCTGGTCATGATGAATACGACCATGTGCAGCCTTGATGTGTGTTACTTACCAATGGGACCGGTCACATCTCACCGGTGTGACAAGGCCTCGCCACCGCAACAAATGCCTCCCATTCATCACCTGGGGCAACACCTGGGCGGAAGTCAACCGGCGGAGGAAATGGATTGTGTAAGCAACTTGTGTTTGTGTAAACACCGTCTGGGATGAACTCGTTCTCGCTTCTCATTTCTAAGTAAACCGTCTCTCTTTACTTTTCACTTTTTCATATTGTTGGTCCCATCGAAGGGAATATTTGGATCCACGAGAGTCTGGACCAAAAGCAGCACAAAAGCATCATGAGTTTGTTTTCTAGGCTGCATGCTCAGGTCTCCAATGGTTTCATCATTGCAGGAGCAAGCGCTGAGCTAACGGGGCCACGCACGCTAATCTATATGCTAATGCAGAAACAGACAGAAATTCCCTCTGACGACAGGCTGTGTGTGGGCCTGACCAGCAGCTCATGTGTAACTAAACAGCCCGTTTGTTTCTTTAAAGTGGACATATCATACAGTATTTTATGTTTTCCCTTAAGTCCACTTACAATGTTACGCTTTCTGCACTGTAAATGAGTTTTTCATGAGTATTTTCCACCCTCTCTCTGACTA